AGAGAAAAGGTGCTCAACAAATCCATCACATTTCTCCATATTCCAGCCATTGACCAAGCAGCGGATCCTTTGACAAAGCCTATCACTGGTCAATTCTTCTCTCGCATGCGCAACAAATTGAGAGTTGCTTCTCTTAGCTCGCTTGAATTGAGGGGGGACTGTTAGATATGCTTAAGTGTCCAGTTAACCTAATTATTTGGAGTTAATCTCTTTTTCTCTCTCATGCACGACCATGCACGTGCTTTCTCCCTCAGCATAGTACAGCAGCCAATTAGCCGTTTGTTTGGCTCATTAGGAGTTTGTTATGGTGTTTTGGCAAGTAGTGACAACTCGTCATAGTCTTTGATCTTATCCTTTAAGGTTCTAGATCCCTCTTGTTAGGAATACAAATATACCATATTGTATCAGATCTCATTATCAACAAATATATTGAAATCATTCTATCTTCTTCATTGTTGCTCTTTCTTGCTTTCTTGTTTCAAATCAACAATGGTTAAATTTTTCCAACACGGAGGAAGATGTTTTTCCGATGGGATACCGTCGATTGGCGGCCGGTGATCTCTCCAAAAATTGGCCTATTGGTCGAGGTGAGAAAGCCATCGACGACGGTGGATAGACATCAAAACTAACTGGCAGACGACTGGGAGAAGCCGAAACTCTGGAGAATTTTTTTTATATATACTTACCTGTAACATTCTGTCGGGGAGAGAAAATGTTAGATTGAACGTGAGAGAGAGAGAGAGAGGAGAGAAGAGAGAGGAGAGAGGAAGAGGTGTGGTTTTAATTATGGGTGGGGCCCACTGGTTTGTGATGGGGTCAAATTACATATTTGTCCTGAATGGCTACATTTGATCTAATAATGTTCAGTTATTTACACATATACCACCGCGAATTCGACTGTTTTAATTAATTTTGACTTCACCATTGATGTGGTAGATCCAATGTTCCAAATTCATTCTTATTTCTTCTCATTCTCATATGATCCCTTACATATATATATATATATATATATATATATATATA